CCCCCTCCCAAATCGCCAAGTTTTTCCTCCCCCCCCCGCTTTCAAGAACGCCGAGGCCGCTTGGAATTCCCCTGCCCCGCCGGCTGCTGCTTCCTGATTGGCCGCCGGCGGTGATGAGTTCATCGCCGTGGAACGGGAAAGCCCCCTGAGAAGCCGTAAAGGGGCGGGGCCGCCCAGCTTGGGCTAAACAAACCCGAACCCGGGAGGGAAAAAGTAAAGGGGGTTCTTTGGGGCTTAGCCAGGCCGGGGTAATCAGTGGTCCCTCTAAGCTGAGTTCGTGAGCTGGCTCACAGCTTCTGAGCCTCCAGCTCACACGTTTTTGTCTTCGCTCAGGAAGGAGCAAACTCATTGGTGCAGTCGCCAAACCGCTCCACAACTTTAATGTCAGGAGTGGAATTTCTGCTCACAAGACTCCACAGTTTAGAGAGAGCATTGCCGGGGTTGGGGGGCGGAAATCAAGAGGCTGCCGTTCCTTCGCTTCCCTTTGCAGCTGCCCCCCCCCCAACACACTAGCAGGACCTTTCCCCACTACTGGTGCCCACTGTAGTGGGTATTCACAGGTAGACTGCCTCTGAAAATGGGGGTTCCATTGAGCTACTGCAACTAACTGCCCATTGGTAGAACAAAGTTTGAGTCCAGGGGCACCTTTAAGACCAACAAAGTTTAATTCTGGGTATAAGCTTTTGTGTGCACGCATACCTCTTCAGATGCAAGCACAGGAAAGCTTATACTCAGAACCAGTGTTCCATCTAAGCTGGGTTTGTGTGAGCTAGATCAGTTTTTTAGCCTCCAGCTCTCAATTTTTTGCCTTCGCTCAGGGTGGAGGGCTCCAGAGCAAACTAATTTATGCAGTAGCCAAAACTGCTCACTCATAACTTTAATGTCAGTAGCTTGCAAAGAAGAATTTTGCTCACAAGGCTCCACAGCTTAGAAGGAGCATTGCCCAGTGTTCCCTCTAAGCTGAGTTAGTGTGAGCTAGCTCACAGTTTTTTAGCCTCCAGCTCACACATTTTCGTCTTCGCTCAGGAAGGGTGGCTCCAGAGCAAACTCATATATGCAGTAGCCAAATCGCTCGCTCACAACTTTAATGCCAGGGGCTCACCAAGTAGAATTTTTGCTCACAATACTCCACAGCTTAGAGGGAGCACTGCCCAGAATTAAACTTTGTTGGTCTTAAAGGTGCCCCTGGACTCAAACTTTGTTATATTTATTTTACGAAGACAGATCTGCACGTCCCCCCCCCCAATAGCTGGCAATCCAAAACAGTCCCGTGGAGCCTGAGCGGTGGGTGTTGCCTTCTTGACACACTTCCGGTGATGTCAGGGGGTGTGGCATATGCAAATGAGTTATGCTAATGAGCTCCTGCACCTCTTTCTCTACGAAATGACCCCTGACTGTATTCATAGGCCACCGTTCTCATGGAGACGCAAAGCGGATTACGCTCTGCAAATTGGTTACAGTCCATACAAAGAGACATCTAATAAGAGACCTAATGGTGCCAGCTCGGTAACTATGTACAGAGATTAACAGTGGGTGATTCTGCATCTAGCATTTGCTCCGTATTTTCTCAACTGGGAGGAAAACATGCATCTCAGAACCATATTCAATTACCTCGGGGCAGCTCCATACGGACTGCAAAGTCACCCCTGAACGGCCATAAATCTATGCAGAAGGTATCATAAAACCCGAAGTTCAAAGAAAGTCGGTACCGTAGAATCTGACGAAAGCGGCATGCAATGCAGAGAGGCATTTCTGTTCCAACGTGGGTTTCGCAAAACAACGGAGGGAAAAGCCAATGCAGAATCAGCCAGTGTGTCCTGTTTTCATCTATGTTGCTTTACACTGTTTTTATTATTCTGTAATATTGCATTTATGTGTTTTTAGAACTTCTCTGCGATCTGCCCTGAGCCTGCTTGCAGGGAGGGCGGAATATAAATCGAAAGAAATAAAAATAAATAAATAAGCACTGTACAGGTCAAGCTGATCAATAGGAGGAGACATTTAACGAGCAATTTACTAGAACCAGGATTGCTGAAACCTGAAACAGCATAGCATAGCATCTAAGGTGTGATACAGAGGATGGACAGAGTGAAGTACAATGGTATTACATCAAGAACCAGGGCCCTTTTTGTAGAAAAAGCCCAGGAGGAACTCATTAGCATAACAGGCCATACCCAACAGCAGGAACTCAGTAGCATATTAGGCCACACCCCTGACAGCACAGCTTATTAGCATATTAGGCCACACCCCAATGTTATCAGAAGTGTGGTCATCCAGCCACAACCACCTTTTGCTTTTTATTCTGTTTACCTTGTTTGTTGTCAAAACCCAGGGCTTTTTTTGTAGCAGGAACTCCTTTGCATGTTAGGCCACACACCCCTAATGTAGCCAGTCCTAATGAGTTTATGATGTTGGGTGTGGCCTATTATGCTAATGAGTTCCTGCCAGGCGTGGCCAACTTGGGAGCCAGCCGGAACTCCTGCCCAAAAATAGCCCTGAGTAAAACACAATGAAATGACAATAGGGTAATACATGCAGCTACTTGATCATATGTCCTACACACAGTTGTTCAAACCACAGTCCCTTTCACTTTGTAATCACCTTTTTGCCCCCATTTCTATTATAGTAGTTTCCTGTTAGGGCCGCGGTGGCTTAGAGGTTAAGATGCAGGGCTGCAGACCGGAAGGTCCATAGCTTGGCAGTACGTTCGAGCCCCAGGTGCCGCATGACAGAGTGAGCTCCCGCCTCTGGCCCCAGCTCCTGCCGACCTAGCAGTTCGAAAGCAGGAAACTGCAAGGAGATAAATAGGTACCGCTTCGGTGGGAAGGTAACGGCGTTCCGTGCGCCTCGGCCACATGTCAGCCACATGACCGCGGAGAAGTCTTCGGACAGCGCCGGCTCTTCGTCTTGGAAATGGAGATAAGCACCGCCCCCTAGAGTTTGATTTGACTGGCTTTCGAGCAAGGGAAACCTTATATTCCTGTTATTTTTATAGAAAAGCCAGTTTGATGTAATAGTTAAGTGTGTGGACTCTAATCTGGGAGAACCGGGTTTGATTCCCCACTCCTCCACTTGCACCTGCTGATGTGACCTTGGGTCAGTCACAAGCTCTGGCACAGCTGTCCTTGAAAAAGAGTAGTTTGTGTCAGAGTTCTCTCAGCCCCACCCACCTCACAGGGTGTCTGTTGTGGGGAGGGGAAGGGAAAGGACTTTGTAAGCTGCTCTGAGACTCCAAGTGAAGGGCGGGGTAGAAATCCAATCTCTTCTTCTTCTTAACTCCATCTTGAGTCCAATGGCACCTTTAAGACCAACAAAGTTTAATTCTGGGTATTAGTATCTGAAGAAGTGTGCCTGCACATAAGAACATAAGAGATGCCAATGTTAGATCAGGCCAAAGGCCCATCCAGTCCAACACTCTGTATCACACAGTGGCCAGAAATACCAGGGGCCATCAGGAGGTCCACCAGTGGGGCACACGAAAGCTCTCTTCTGTTGCTTCAGACCAACACAGCTACCCACCTGAATATCGACCATTACATGTTTCAGTATATCTGAAGAAGTGTGCCTGCACATGAAAGCTTATAACCCAAAATTAAACTTCATTGTTCTGTAATTAATTATTGTATGGTGTTGTGTGTAGAATAGCCAGGAGATCCTAAGATTGTCTGGCAGCCAGGAGTTCTAGCTCTTTAGCATTACGCACCACTAGGTGACAAGCATGTGGTCCATGGGGTCAGGAAGAGTCAGACTCAACTGTGCAATTGAAGAAGAAGAGATTGGATTTATACCCCGCCCTTCACTACCCAAAGGAGTCTCAGAGCGGCTTACAAACCCCTCCGCCTCCCCACAACAGACACCCTGTGAGGTAGGTGGGGCTGAGAGAAAACTCTTGACAGAAACGGCTCTTTTTCAAGAACAGCTGTGCCAGAGTTATGGCTCGCCCAAGGTCATCCAGTCAGGTGCAAGTGGAGGAGTGGGGAATCAAACCTGGTTCTCCCAGATTAGAGTCCGCGCACTTAACCACTACACCAAACTGGCTCTCACAAAGCTAGACTTGGTTTTTAAGGCAAGACGCCTCTGTGTCATGACCCTGGTATTCCTTGGAGGTCGCCCATCCAAACTCTAGCCAGGGCCGGCCCTGCTTAGCTTCCAAAATCTGACGGGATCGGGCCTGGGCTATCTAGGTCAGGACGCTGGTCTTCAAGGTGCCACTGGGTTCAAACTTTGTTCTGTTGCTTCGGACCAACACAGCTACCCACCGGAATCTATTTTAATGGAAGGCTCCATTTGTGGAAGGTCAGTAGTTCAGCAGTTCGAGACCTGAGTTGCCGCATGATGGAGTGAGCTCCCGTCTCTAGTTCCAGCTCCTGCCAACCTAGCAGTTCGAAAGCAAGAAATTGCAAGTAGATAAATAGGTACCACTTCAGTGGGAAGGGAGCAGCGTTCCGTGCGCCTTGGTGTTTAGTCATGCCGGCCACATGACCACGGAAACGTCTTCGGACAGCGCTGGCTCTTCGGCTTTGAAACGGAGATGAGCACCGCAACCCTAGAGTCGGATTCGACTGGCTCTCGAACAAGGGAACCTTTACCTTTACCACCATTTGTAGGGTGGTACATACTGTTGAGGGTACCTGCAGACGGTCCTGGAAAGAAGAGCAAAAATGACGCGGTGGAATACAGGAGGAGAGGTGGCGACCTGGAGACGCCGTTAGAATGTCATGCTAGGATCTGGGAGGCGCGGGTTCCGATCCAGTCTCTACCACCAAAGCTTGCTGGGCGACCTTGGGCCAGTCCCACCCACGCTTAGCCTAACCTGCAGGGCCGTTGTGAGGATAAAATGGAGAACAGCAGGGCCTGTAGCTCAGCAGTGGAGCATCTGCTTTGCATGTCCCAGGTTTGTTGCCTGGCCTCTCCAGTTAAAAGATCTGGTGTTAGGTGATGTGAAGGAAGATTGTGGGAAGAGGAAGAGGAGGAAGACGAGGAGGAGATTGGATTTATACCCTGCCCTTCACTACCTGAAGGAGTTTTGAGAGTGGCTTACAACCTCCTTTCCCTTCCCGTCCCCACAACAGGCACCCTATGAAGTAAGTGGGGCTGAGAGAGCGCTTCCAAGGACCGCCCTTCAGAGAACAGCTCTGAGAAAACTTGTGACTGACCCAAGGTCACACCAGCAGCTGCATGTGGAGGAGTGGGGAGTCAGACTCGGTTCTCCCAGATTAAGAGTCCGCGCCTCCTAACCACTACACCAAACTCTGGGTCCCCGCGCTCCCATGCTCTAAATGCTGCGCCACACTGCCACGGCGGCCAACTGACCAGAAAACAAACCAGCCTGTTTTGCTCCGGCGCCTTTTACCAGATGTTTTAATCTTCATAAATCAGACGGTGGCCCCGGGCACACGGGCCGGATATCGCGGGGGGAGGCGTGGCTAATTGCACGGGCACAGTTTGATGCGCGATTACGCGATCAGACGTGCCGGCAGCACAGCACGGGTCCTTCCCTCGCGCCAGCGGGTAAACGATGCCACATGCCGCGTGATCACACCACAGGCGTCTGGAGGCAGCCCGTGGCAAACGTTTACTAGTACCTTGGAGGTACTAGTTTTTTAAGGCGCATTGTCGGCGGTAAACCACGGGTGCGCTCCACTTCCCAGATGTCGGGGTGTGATCGCGCCCGGATAATCCGCCCACCATCCATGCCTCTCCGGCGGCAACTCTGCCGTGTGACGGGGCCACAATTGTTTTTCCTGAGGATGGAGCACCCTGGTTCTTAGCGGTTGGCCATGCCTGCTATTGCTGCTCTTATGGCATCCTTCGTAGCTACAACAACCTGCTTTGGGTATCAGCAAGGAAGGTGGTGTTTAAACGCAGCAAAGAGGCCGAAGAGCAGAGCCTTGCGGTTGATACGAACGTGGGTCAACTCGGGTGCGTGCGGATGCACTTGAGCGCGCAACGGGCAAGCGGGCACGATCCCCGCCTTTGCGCCCATTCCCTCCCGACCGTGCGCAAAAGGAGGAGGATTAGCATCCAGAGCTAATGGCATGAAACGGCGCTGTCCGAAGGGGTTCCCACGCTTTCTGGCCAACCCTTACCCGGCTCTCCGCTGCTTTCTCCGGCGGTCTCTCCAAGCGGCCCGGGCTGCAAAAGTTCTCCCCGAGCTCCTTTTTCCTCCTCTTCATCCACAGTTTCAGTTTTGGGCGTCCGCATTTCCCGGCTCATGTTTTTGAGCAGGGTTTGGAAAAGATCTGGAACTTTTCCTGATTCCGGGAAAGGAACGACGGAGTGGATCCGGATTGGCGAGAGCGAGATTGGCTTGACCGGAACCCGCAGCCCCTTCCCCTCCTTTTCTTCTTTTTTTGTTTTGGCACCGGAAGCTCCTGCTTCCAATAGAAAAAGTGGCCCGGAGGAGCAAACACGTGGTTTAAATCAGCCCCAAGGGGGTAAAGCTGTCATTTTCCAGGCCGGTTCTGTCCCGAAGACACGAAGACCGTGAAAAGAGCCCTGCTGTGCTGGATTTAAGTAGGGTTGCCAACTCCCGGTTGGGAAATTCCTGGAGATTTGGGGGATGGAGCCTGGAAAGGGCAGGGTTTGGGGTGAGCTTTTTAGCCTCCGGATCACACGCTTTTGTCTTGCCTCCAGAGCAAATTCATTGATGCAGCAGCCAGATCGCTCGCCCACCGCTTTAATGCCAGTAGCTCGCAAAGGAGAATCTTTGCTCACAAGACTCCACAGCTTAGAGGGAGCATCGAGTCGCCCCCGACAATCTGGTGTTCGGGGATAGACTGCCCCTGAACATGGAGGTTTTATTTCGTTGTATTGGCTGACAGCCCCCACGTCTCCAGTTCTCCACTGAAACGGGGTTGGCGGTGCCCGAGATCAGCCGGAGCAAGCAGGGATTGGTGGAACTAATGACGAAAGTCATTAAAAAGAACTGGGACGAGCCTATTCGAAACGAGCATCCCTTGCTACTGAAGGGAGGCTTATTGAGAATACCTTTAAAAATGCGCAAGACACGTTTATGCATGGTTCTCCTGTCTATTCTCACAACAACCCCGTGAGGTCGGCGAGGCCGGGCCTTGTCACCTTGTTCACCCCGAGATGAGAGAGGGATCGGAACAGACCGCGCATAGATATGGCGAGTGTCAAGGCACCTAAGCGGGGAATGCGGTTGTGGTTGCGCAGGCGCTCGCGGATTTACGGTAGCCAGCAAATCTCCTTGGAGGAAAAGCGGGCGAGGAGGGCGGCGGGAGGGAATGGGTGGATCACGTGGCTCCGCGGCAAAGGGCGGGGGGGAAACAACGCGAGCGAGCCGCGAAGTCTCGCGAGAGTTACGCGCGGCAACGGCGCAGCAAGATGGCGGCGCCGGAGACGGAGGTGGTGGCAGCGGCGGGTCCCGGGGCCGGCCCTGAACAGGTAGCGCCCGCGGGCCTCGGCCCTTTCTCCTTCTCCCCGCGCGGGAACCTCCCCTCGGCGTCTTCTTTTCCGACCCACGCCGGGTCTGCCGTCCCCTTCTCGCTTCTTCTTGCCCCAGCCCC